TCAAGAAAAACAATCTGTTGTGAGTCAGAAGTCGTTCAAGACACACTTATTTTCTCTTTTATGGTATTCCAGAGGTTATTCATTTGGTGACCTAGATTGCTTCACATTTAAAAAAAAGCAGGTACTTACCTTGAAAACTTCAGAGAAAAAACCCTCGCCAATTTTTTCTTTATGAAAGTCATCGAGGCGATGCAGAGATGCTACGGCATGCTTCAGTGCTTGGCAAGAAGAGCCTGTTTTAAGTCTATCACTTCGGATTCTAGGAGGTTCGGAAAGTTCGTTATTTGGGCAGAACAACTTTTCATAATCACTGTCCTTAGGGTCACATGGACTGTCATAAATACACGAAATTTTAGATTTAGCAGCGGATTCATTTCTCTTTAATGGGTGCATCATAATACTGGATCGAACAATCATGTAGTTTTAACCAATTTCGTACATATTCGTGTACGATAATGTACAAGTTCAGTCTTTTTATTACACATACTTCGAATTTATAGCGGATAAATCAAAATAATTTTGGTACTATAGTTGTTTTCGAGATCACTTGACATGTCGCACGTCAGATTATAAACAAACTTTCATTAAGTTAATATTACAAGAATGAAATCTTGATCGAACTTAATTTTGCAATTATAACAAATATTACTGCCCTATCATGTATCGCATTAAGCCTGTTCAGTTTCCGAATTATTAGGCAGATAACTTCACCAAAATGATGAAAAGTACGTACTATATTAAACACTCGTTCACTAGATAAATAATAAAAATCACAATAAAATACACAGTAATTACACTATCCGCGAAAACAAGATTGACACCAAAACACTTACATTTACAACACCTATTTAATTTGATGTACGAAACGTAAATAAAAAGTTTGACACGGCAAAAGCTTTCTCTACTGCACCGTCAGCTGCCATATTTCCAATGAGCAGACAAATCAACTTAGTGCAGACATACGGATAGAAGTGACTTGCATATACAATCATGTGTAGACAAATGCGAGGATAGAAAGTCCCGTGAATTCTTATCTTTTTAGGACCACGCATGCGTGCTTACCCAACTAAGACCGGGGGATTTAAATTAATTTCCTACTCATATAATATACGTATAAGTAAAAATATCAAATATGATTCGAATTCAAATATCAATTTCTGTATTCTGAATTTGTATACTTGTTTCAAGAGCATTATTTCCAGCTTCGAAATACCGAAAAAAACAACAATGAAATGTTTCACAGAGGCACTTTCTTTTCTATTTCGGCAGATTCTTACATAACATTTTAAACTGATAATCAAATCAAAAAACTTCAATCAAAAAGTCTATATTTCCTTCCACAGAATAAGTTTTGTGCAGAAAGTTAATCCCGCCGAATTCTCAATTAAAATCGAACGAATTCAACGTATGAAAATATGTTTAGAAATTCATTTAGACCAAAATATTCTCAAGATAATGTTTAGAAATTCAGTTAGACCAAAATATCCTCAAAAGACGATTTTTAGAAATTCTGTTAAACCAAAATATCCTTAAAAGACTATGTTTAGATATTCAGTTAGACCAAAATATACTTAAAAGACAATGTTTAGAAATTCTGTTAGACCAAAATATCCTTAAAAGATGTTTAGAAATTCACTTAGACCAAAACATCCTTAAGATGTTTCAAAATTCAGTTAGACCAAAATATCCTTTAGATAATGTTTAGAAATACACTTAGATCAAAATATCCTTAAGGATGTTTTGAAATTCAGTTAGGTCGAAATATCCTCTAGATAATGTTTTGAAATTCAGTTAGACCAAAATATCCTCAAGATGTTCAATATGTATTGATATTTTACTTGACTGAAATGAAGTTTGGTCACCTTCTAACTTGAAACAATAATTTTATATTTTCACAGTTTACAAATGGACAATTTACAAGATTCCAAAATTATATTTGTTGATACTAGTCAAAAACTCAAGATACCAAAAAAAAAGTTCCAATAATGCCTGAACATGCAGTTCTGACACAAAAGGTCAAGTTAATTTCTTAATCTTATTAATTTTTACACTATTCGAAATAATATTAAATATTATATATCAAATATGGATTTGATAAGAAATATGTGTAGGTACAGTAAAGATACTCAATTACAGTGAAAATGTTAGTAGAGCTTTTATTTGGGAAAAAGGCATTTATGCTTTCACTTTAACCTTATAACAAAAAATTGTGTTCAACTTTCGAAAGAAGGATAAAGCAATTAAGTTTAAAATAAACTCTTTACAAAAACTTATCTCTCGAAAAATATGCCTCTTTCAATTGGAGCTCATATTTTTGAATGTTTTCTTTCCACTCAAATTGAAAAAAAAATGTATATTTAATATTTAGTAATAAATTGAATGGGGAAAATGATCCTGTAGAAATAAATCTCACCTGACAAAAAAAAGTATAAATAAATTGAATGTCAAATTTAAAATAAGAAAATCAATATGGAAATTCTTTCTTGTAAATTGTTCTATTGAAGGCAATCGAATTTGACCTTTATTGAGAATAACATAAATTCAAATTGAAATTTTTGTACTTAAAAATAAATGTTTCAAAATATTTGTCTACCAACTACCTACATAATGTGTCATTGTATACTTATTCATTAAGTTTTATATGTTGATCACAAGGTAGGCAAGGTAGACGTTCTCAGTGGTCAATATGAAACTTGCAGCAATTTGTAAAGCGGCTGTGTTTCTGAGTACAGTTTGTGACTTAATATTAGTTATTAAAAATAGTACTGCTAACATAACGAATTATACCAGAAACACAAACCCTTTACAAATTGCTGTAAGTTTTTGTTATAGACAAGTTCACTGGCATTAACTGTTATGCAAATTCTGCTTGCTTCTTCTCTTTTCACATTATATTTTCATATCGTAAACTCTATAGGACACGAAAATATTGTCAATTTTCGTTCAATGTTATACCTTTATTATTTGGCGTGGTTCTGGATACCTGATATTTACAGTAGAACCATCAGGATAAACAAGTATAGTTGGGTAGGTACGTAAGTAAGTACTTCTATGAGGTCTAGTTATACATGCTGAAAGTGAATTCAGTTTCCTGATTTGTTGAAATGATTTAACCAAATAATACATTTTCTGTTATGCAACAATGCAATGCTAAAGACAACTTGCTACAACGTCCAATTCTAACCTAAAACGTTTTTGTTTTTAATGGATGGCTGCGTCCAGGATTGAATAAACAAACAGCGCTGCGCTGAATGCAGCATAAAAGCGCCTTTCGAATCACCTAAACGGTATTATATGTCAAATATTGTGTCATATTGAATGAAATATAATATATCCAACTCATTTGAGAGAGCAATATTTTTCATGTTGATTGTGATTTCACTTCATGTCAATTTCAAATTGTATTGTAAAGGGATTTATATAGACGAAGTGCGAAAAAAATAGCGCTTGAATTTTATTCAAAGGCTGGACCTCATTCAGCCACAACATATGTAAGATGCTGTGACTCAGCGTTAAGCGTTAAGCAGTAAGGCTGAATGAACGAAACAACGAACATTATTGCCACTAGAGGGCGATGAGGAGCATCAGGTCAGTTCACGTAGTTTTTTCGTTATTCACATAATATGACTAAAAGGAATTTATTTGAATTATGTGACGAGGAGTTAGGAAATCTTTTGAAGAAGGAAGGTTCAAGACCAGCTATATTTGAGCGGGAAGCATTAGTAATGTGACATGCATTGCAGCCTAGTCAGAACTGACTTCTTCTGTGTCCTAACAGAAAAGGTTGTGCGTGTTAAAGGAGTTACCGTTTTGATAACTATGTGGACTGGCATTAATTAAATGATTTTGTATTAACGCATTGCACATTGTTGTGGAATTGGCCGCGGTGGTAGTGCAGTCGACTCACGTTCGGAAGGCCGTGGGTTCGATTCTCTCCCCGACCATAATATTTTTTTCGAGAGAATTCATCTGGTTGAAGCTGAGATGATTCTGTAACCATGTTAGGAATCACACGTTGAAAGGTAAGACCTCGTTAGTCCTTAGCTCGCACAAGTTTCTCAACTTCTGAGAGTTGTCGTTCGTATGGGGGCGACAGCTGATTAACGGAAAAACAAATTTTTTTCAAACGTTTTTGAATACTCAATATCACCTTTTTTTAAATTTTGGTAAACAATATCTTACTTTTTTCATGACATTATCAATTTGAATATTTTTTCAGGTAGCAGTCGAGATATACTCCTAGAAACTTTACTTTTTTATCTGATTGATTAACATCGTCTCATCTTCATGTTTCAAGTCTGTTTCTGTGAATTGGAATGAGTTCGATTCATAACTTCTGAAGGATACATAAATGTTTCTTCAAATTGATCGTATTTTTTTTTCACAGGAGAACACTAATATAAGAAACAACACAATAATTTTTTGTTTCAGACTAGACCAATTTACTGTCCTTAAAGAATATAACAGTGTCATCCAAAAATAAACTTATTTCACCGTCTACAGGCAATTTGAAAATATCAATAATATAAATTGAAACAAAATTGGATCGAGAACTGTTCCTTCTGGAACACCATTTTGAACCTTTCTCTCACTTACTGTTTATGTTTTTGAGTTTTATGCATTGTTCTCTATCTTCCGAATAACTTGTCATGAGTTTATGAGGTTTCTAATAAATCCGTGTAGCTGAACAGTATTAAAATCCTTCGCAAGATCGAGAAATATGGCCTATTGCGGGGTACTTAAAATCTATCGCTTTGAATATTTTTGAAGTAATGTTCACGATTCCATATTGCGTCGACATATGAAATTTTCTGAACGATTTTACGTCTTTGGAAAACATACCTACAATTCAATCAGTTTCTTTCCGGAAAAAAGTCAAAATTCTGGGGTAGATACTAGTAGATAGTTACATCATCGGAAGACGGAAGTTCTTACTGCGAATTTTAAAAGAAATGTATGACATAAGACACAGCCACAGTACAAAGCTACTGTGACAGCCACAGAATAGTAAACAATTCTGTGACATAGCTGTCAGTGTCAGTTGCGTTTGTTTTGTTTTTACAAAGTGCCTAACAGTCTGGGTTTTAATAATATCTAACAGTTAAAAGTCCATTATTGTAGATTTGAAAATTTTAATTCTAAATTAATAAATGGACTACTTGGGAAGTTAGAAAGTGTGATTATATATGTCGAGAAAGGAATTGAATATGTGAAAACTTTGGAATTTTGTTTAGCTGGCAATCTTCAGATAACAGAATGTTCACATTTAATGTACCACAAGAAGGTCCAGTTAATGCTTTAGCATTAAATAAAGACTATACCCAAGTAGCTGTCGGTGGAAGAAATGGTAAACTTTACCTTTATGTGATTATTTAGCTGTATCCTTTATTTTTTTTTAGTTTTCAAAATATATGCCATAGAAGAAGATAAATTTAGGGAAATATGCAATGTGAGAGGTTCAAAGCATCTGAATGTAGGTTTTTCGTGTAATGATGTATCGTGGAGTCCTACAGATGGTATAGTATTGTTTTGTTAAATGATCAACTGTTAAGACTTTCGCACTTTTAGACCATTTTATTGCTACTGCCGCAACAAATGGCCATGTATGTGTATGGAACCTCACACAAACGGGAAAAGCAATGCAGGAACAAGACTACCAAGATCATAAACGTACAGTGAACAAAGTGAATTTTCATGCCTCCGAGCCTTATAAGTTGATATCTGGCTCCCAAGATGGAACTATGAGATATTTTGATATAAGACTGCGAAGTGCTGTGACGGTTTTTTACAGGTAGGTTTGAAACCTTGAAAAAGTTATCGGTGTCAATAGTTCAAAATAATAATGAACCTAATGAAAAATATGAGAAAATGTATTACTCAGACATAGGTATTCATAGCTGGGTTCGCAATTAGAGATGGTGATGCAGTGATGGAATGAACCTTATAGTACCAAACTTTTTGTCTGCTACCGTGGCAGACATCACCAGTAGTGTATGCATTGACTGCGGGGATGTAGGTTATATCTCAAAGTCTCAGCAACGACTGACACTGCTTAGACTTTGAGATGCTAATTCAAACACTCCACTTTAAACTTCCTGCATTCAAAATCACAACTAATATTTGTACTGTTTTTTTTTTCATTTTAGTAATTTTTCTTTTCTCCATACTTATTCTTATTTTTCAAACTGTTCAATTTTAAATTGTGTTTCCTCTCATTGTTACTAAATTTTTATATGCATTTTTCATCCTCTTGTTTTAATGACCAGCTATAAATATAATGACGTTAGTTGATGTAGCGAAATGAAATATTGTATTGCATTTATTGCACTGATCGAGAAATTTTCCATTTCTTTGCCCACACTGGGCCAATAGATAAAACTTCTTGCCAAATATTTCTTCCTATGCAGTTGCTTCAAAATTCCCTTCCAGAATATTTTCGAAACAACCACTCTGGATCCAAAAAGACAATAATTATGTACTATAGATAGTGTCTCTTCTATTAATTGAAATATTGTTGAGCTTTTACGTCATCCATTTTTGCGGGCCAACATTTAAAGGATGAATGCTTATTTTTCATTTTTGAACATGGCAAAATTACAAAACTTTGTATGTATATATAAGCCTTGAACATATAAAAAAAAGATTCCATATGAATTGATATTTCAGATCTGACAGTCTCCAATTTCTTCTTCAATTTGAATTTTTGATTAACAAAGCAAAGACTATCTTGCATCGATAATGTTACTTCCCTACCTTCAGCTCTCTCGAAAACACTAGCGGTGTGTTTGATTTGTACTCAGGAGTAATAACTCCATAGTTGTTGGAATGGTGTTTGAACCTGAACTATTGATTTATTGAATCTGAATTATTGCTCCCTGTAGCCTTTATCAGTGAAAGAGGAACTTTTTGTGAATCTTCAGTTTTCAGTGGTACTCTTAACAAGTTTTTGAATGTCTTTAATTATATAATTGTTGCTGACCATAGATTGGTTATATAATGAATTGATGGACGATAATTTGAGCATTTTTTGACATTATGTGAAAGTTTTCTATCTCAGCAAGAACATATTTTTGATAGTTTTCTAGGTGTTACAATGCTTCTTTGTTTGCAAACTCAACCATCTCAATTTTGTAGATCTAAGAGTGAATTCTAACATTTTCTGTACTCTAGAAGTAACATTTGCAATATGGGGTCTGAATGACAATTTTGTGTCAAGAATGATTCCCAAAACTTTGATTGTGTTTGTTGTTTCCAGTTCTGATTTCTTGCTTACGGGATTTTTGTTTAGGAAAAGAGTAAATTTATGACATTTGTCCGTATTCAGTTGCAATAAGTTCATATCCCACTAGCGTACAAAGTTACATAAATCGTACAGTAATAATTCAGTATCATCAGAGTCATGAATAACTTGTAAATATCTTCAGATCATCAGCAAACAGAAGAAATTCACTACAGAGAATTACATCATTCAAGTCATTTATAAATAGGTTGAAAATTAATGAGATAACAAGATATTTTTGACCATATAACTCAAAAAAATCACACACACTTTGTTCCAAGGAATTTCAGGTGTTTCATAATTTATTGAAGGTTCTGAATTTTGAGACTGTGAGTATTTTAAACATAAGTGGCACTGTTATATTTTCTGTTTCATTTCATTATCTATTGTAGGCCAAAGTATTTTTTCTTGAGCTAATTTAATGTATTTATTTATACCCTGATGATTATGATGAACGCTGTCTAACGTTTCTTTCACAGAAAAAAAAACACTAAAAAGTGCATAATGAACGTATAATAGCAGCCTTACATTCTACTTCCTCGGCAATATTTTTCAAAGCATATCATCTGAATGAAAATTAATTTTTTGCATAGTTGTTCTGTTATCAAACTTCAGACCTCTATATTTATTCACTCCCAGTAATTTTGATTCTACTATACTTGTTATTTCTCCATTGTCCTATGGAAATGAGGTGAGAGTTTTACCATGACGGTGGGACGGTAGCTACTTGGCTTTCTTTACAGGTTGATGTTTCGGAAACAATCTTATTCCATTTGAGGTGAAAGTTTTAAAGTGAATTTCAAGTTTTGTAAATTATATTTGATTTTTGTCTATTGATTTTTTTAATTTGAAGGCAAAATTTGTGAATATGACAGGTTACCGACTAATTGGAATCTTCAGTGGTTTATATTACACAGTAACTTTTTGGGGTGAATTTTTCAGTCCCCCAAAAAAAGAGATTGGAAGAATTCAACCTCATACACAAGTCAATAAAAATATTCTCGGACTGTCAAAGCTCTTGGCTCCTACCGAGCAACGTCTAAATTGGTAGAAAATTGCCTAAAACGACTCTCCTCGATAGATAGACGTAACAGATTATCTCTGGTCTGGATTCCTGGCCATACTGGCGTGGAAGGCAATGAGACTGCTGACTCCCTTGCAAAAGAAGGTGCTGCAAGCAGCTTCATCATACCAGAACCTATCATTGGCATCACTTTAGGCTTTGCCAAACAAAGATAGAATACCTGGATGGCGAGAAAATTTATGGACTTCTAGCAGAATCTTCCAGGATTGGCTCACTCCAAAGCATTTCTTCACTCTTCGAAGCTTGATACCAAACAGTTGTTGGACTACAGTAGGGATGAACTACGATATCTAACAGGCCTTCTTACAGGTCACTGTCATTTGAATCATCATATGCAGAGAGTCTGTTTTCTGACAGTCCGTGTCGCCTCTGTTCGGAACATGATGAAACAGCAAAGCACTTACTTTGTGCCTGCCCCGCTGGGGACCAAATCAGGTTTGTAGAATTCGGCAGAGCCATCTGACCTGAAAGACCACTCACCATACAAACTAGTCGGCTTCGTTAAGAATCTGGGTTCACTCACTTTGGACGTAACCTAACCTAACTCCCACAAAAAATGTCTTTCTAAAAAAATAATAATATACAAATGACAATTGATTTTTAACTTCTTCGATTGATGACCTATTTATTTTGTAGAAATTCATATTGAATATAGGACTGAGAAAATGACTTCTGTCTGATTTCTACCAAGTTTTTTATTAGTTACGACCGGTTTCGATTTATTAAACCATTCTCAAGTAACTCAAAGAACTTAGTTTCCTAGAGTTACTTGAGAATGGTTTATTAAACCGAAACCGGTCGTAACAATTAAAAAACTTAGTAGAAATCAGACAGAAGTTATTTTCTTTGTCCTATATTTTCATTTTCCTTTCACGTTCTGATACGGGCTATCAAAACACTCCCTGGAAGTATTTTCTGATATTTTTCGTCCACCACAGCAAATACATCATAAACTTTTCATGAATTTTATACTGAGCTGAGATTTTTCCACCAACATAACTAGGGAGCCTTTTCGATCGAGTTCAACATGGACAAGCTTTTTGAGTGAAATTTTTACTGTTATGTTTAGTTTAAGAACCAACCTCATTTTCAACAAAGCAAAAACATTAGTAATATATGTTTGCAGTAACACGGAAAGTGTCAGAGATGTCCAATTCAGTCCTCATAATCCACATAGTTTTTCTGCTGTATCAGACAATGGAAGTGTGCAGTTGTGGGATATTCGTAAACCTGAGAAGTGTCTCCAGCAATACACAGCCCATAGTGGGCCCGTTTTTGCTTGTGACTGGCATCCTGAAGTTACTTGGCTAGCAACAGCCAGTAGAGACAAAACTATCAAGGTAATTTTCAGATAATCAAATGTTTACACAATTTTTCAAGAGGAATTATTTGCACTGAGATGGTGGCGACTAACAATATTGAGATTATTTCTCAAAAAACATGCAATGTTTGTTCTGGAAAAAATTCAGTTAAATAAGAAATCAGTCATTTACGTCAGCATATTCATAGACTAACACACAGATGGCGCTACTAGTATTAAATCCATATTATTTTTAGTTAACTCTAACCTTCAAAAGACAAATTTACAAATTTCACAGAGGTCGGAGTACATATTGGTTATTAGTTTGAAGGAAATGGATGAAGAGGAGGTGTGTTAATAAAGCATTGATCGAGGCTCTAATGATATCAATGGAGCATGCTGGACAAATCGATATTTACATTATATTATGGGTCCCATATAACCGAACAATATTCAAAAATAGATCTTACGAAAGCACAATATAAAATCTTTTTTATTTTAATTGAAAAATCACTAGAAATTCTCAACATAAACCTTGCATTTCAAGACTTTTTGCTACAGTTTTTGATACTTGGAGATTGAAATTAATTTCGTTATCTAATTTAACCTCCAGATCGCGAATGTTTCTCTTTTAAGAGCTATACTCATATTTTTCAATGTATATTCAAAGAATATTGGACTTCTAATTTCAGCGAAAATAAAAAATACCTCTTGATCAATATATTATGTGATGTTTGTTGGATTAATTAATTTATCTTGATAATTTTGAATATAGCGTATTACACAAATTGAATTCTATACCAATCCAAATGAGGCAGAACTTCGACGCTAATTTCTTTTAATTTTTGGACGGCGATGTGTTAAATTTTTTATAATTTGGATATATTGTTGGATAGTTTTCAAAATTTGACTAATAAAGTAGTTTATTTTCACGTTTTGTAACCATTATTCATTCAGAAATATAAGAATCCTAATAATTTATCAGTGGTAACACATATTTTCATTCTTACACCCTCTTATCAGTAATTAATTTTCATGTAAGGTATTATATTATACTTTTTATGACGGTTACTCTTTTGCTCCACCTTCAATTGGACTACCATTA